GAGAGAGAGAGAGAGAGAGAGAGAGAGAGAGAGAGAGAGAAATCTCAAATGTCTTAGATCTAATTTAATTACTGGAAGCTAACGATACATAGAGCTTTCAATAAAGAAGAGTTATTTGGCCAGGCGGTAGTGGCACATGTCTTTAATCCCAGCACTTGGGAGGCAGAGGCAGGTGCATCTCAGTGAGTTTGAGGCCAGCTTGGTTTACAGAGTGAGTTCCAGGAAAGCCAGGGCTACACAGAGAAACCCTGTGTCGAAAAAACAAGCAAACAAAAGTTGTATGTCTGTACCCTCTGCAAACTGAGCTGGGACAAACTTCCCTTCAAGTGGGTCCTTTTCTAACGAAGACATCTGCAGTGCAGAATTCTGGAACACAGCTCAGGAAGAGGGAGACCGCAGGTTCTATGTGAAGTCACCCAACCGACCACTCACTCTTGGCCAGCATTTGGAGCACTGCTTTACCAGCTCGTCTGTGGTCATCACCCTCCTTTTCATGGACACTGTCACAAAGAAATTCATGCATCCCTGCAGTACTTAAACTGTAAAATGCCAGATTCCTTGCTAATATGTTTTTTATGTCCCAAATACTAATCTGGGAACGGTAGTGCACTATAGCCCTAGAATTTCAAAGGTGGAGGCAGAAGGATCAAGGCATCCCTGGCTACAGAGTGAGAAGTTTGTGGACAGCCTGGATTACATGAGACTCGGTCTAAAACAAAACAAACAAAAATTAAACAACAAAACAAACTGCATTTCAGACCAAGCCTGATCAAAGAAAATGAGACTTTTCTACACACAGAGAGGCACTTAGAAAAATAACAGCAATCCCTCTGACAGATGGAATCCACTTCTCAATTTCTGAGACCCTGGACAGGCAATGGTGATGAGGTGTTGGAATCTCTGCCCAGGGTTTTCTGGGTTTGGGCCCACTGTGACCAGAGCAGGACACTAACCAACCAGGAAGAGAATCTGGGGATGGCCGCTGTCAGGATGATGTAGCTGGTTTCTGGGGTAATAGTGCCACCTGCAGGAAAACCAAAAATACGCCAGTTATGCCTAGCCATCTTAGCCCACCTTGCAGGCCTACTCTGACAGAAAGTGTCTTTTTACTTCACAGAAGCAAGGGCTCCTTTCAGCATAGTCTGCTGCTCCCCCGCCCCCCTCCCACACACACACAAAGGGAGTTTCCTCATCTGGGGACAGACAGTCGAATAAGCTGATGGTGAGGGGTTGTTGAGTATCCTTCAGAACAAAGGGAAACATGCATGAAAATGAGTAATCATGAATTAGTTCCTTTTACCTTTAATTTTATCAAGAAGTACAGGTATTATGTATACCCATTAAAGCCACATCTACCATTATCAGTATTAGCAAAGCTGGAAGGCAAGGGCCTCTGAACCCTTTGACATGGCACTGAGCTACAGGATTTGGAGTTTGCCCTGATGGTTTTGATCTTGCTTTGGTCCAGTACTTCCTCACTGTGCTCTGATTCCTCCCCTTTTGCAATGGTAATGTATATTCTATGCTTCTGTATGTCTGAAGACTGTAACTTCCTTTTTGATTTCACAGAAGCTTACAATTAAGAGACTGCCTTGAGTCTCACAAGAGGCTTTGAACTTTGGGCTTTTAAGCAATGAAAGACTATGGGGACTTTTAGAATTAGACTCAATATGCATTTTGATATGGCCAATGTATGTGGGGGCCAGGGAGCAGAATGCTGTGGTCTGAGAATGGACCCTGTGGTGATATCTTGCTTGTACAAATAAAGCCTGTCTGAAGACCAGAGGAGCTTGCCACCAGCTAAACATAGAGGTCTGGAAGTCTGTACAGACAGATAGGAAGTGAGATGGCTGGGTGGAAACAGGAAATGAGATAGCAGGGCTACAGGAAGTGAGATGGCTGAGTAGAGAGAGGATATAAAGAAGAAGCAGCAGGAACTCTCTCTTTTCCGCTAGGAAGCTAATGAGTTAAAGGTTGCTTTGGCTTGCCCCTTCTTCTCTCTGATCACTCAGCATTTTCCTCTATACCTGAATCTGGGTTTTTATTATTTAAACCAATTAAGAACTCCATTTACAGCCCCCATAGGCTCATATGTTTGAATACTTGGTCCCTAGTTGTTAGATCTGTTTGGGAAAGTTTACAAGGTGTGGCCTTGTTGGAGGGGATGTGTCACAGGGGAGGGCATTGAGGCTTCAAAAGCCCACATCAGTCCTAGAGTACTCTCTGCCTTCTGCTTCCAGCTCTCAAAGTTCCTAATGCCATCCTTTGCTCTGTCATCAACTTCATCTCTGAAGCCATAAGCCTGATTAAACTTCTGTAAATTGCCTTGGTCATGGTATTTTATCACAGCAAGAGATCAGTAACTAAGACAGCAGGGTAATTTACTGAGAAGGATGAGGCAAACTGCCCTCTCATTGGAGCACTGAGCAGGGGTTAAACTCCAAAAAAAAATCTCCTTAAATCCTGTTTCATAATAATGACAAGTTTGCACTTTTTTTTTGTCTTTTGATATTTTGAGACAGGGTCTTACTATATACCCTTTATTATATACCTATATACTTCTAGAACTTGCTAAGCTGACTTTGAACTTATGGTAGTGGTCCTCCAGCCTCTGCTCCCAACTGCTAGGATTATAAACGTGCCCTGTACTCACCATCACAAATAGGTTAAGTTCCTATTGTAAGCATTTATGTTTTACTTTCTTGTAAACAAGCAAAACTAGTACAGGATGAGGCTATTTGGCAATCTGGGACTCCCTGTTGCTGCCCTGGCTGCTGTCAAAGGGCCAGCTAGATGACATATATGCTAACTGTTCTGAACAATCCACTAATACCCTAAGAAAACTACACAACTGTAACAGCTTATTGCTCTGGCTCCTGAAGGTGCAGCCTCAGCAAGAACTATCTCAGTTTGTACCAGACTTTGCTATCACAAACCTTGGGAAACTCCAGACAGTGCACTAGCCACTTCTACTGAGGCCAAAGGTGGGGTACTCCCTCCCACTGATGGCCTCGAAGAGTGACAGTTGTGAATGGCACTGGAGAGACAATGTGTGATCAGTGAAAATGCACCTTTGTTTACATGCAAGATATACTGTGATTGGTGCAAACCCCTCTCTGGCTATATGATAAACTTGCTGAACTGGCTGGTAGATACCCTCCTCTGGTATTGCAATATTAAAGTCCAATATGAGGCTTCTCTTAAATTGTCTTTTCTTGTCTACTTTTAGTAGTGCTTGCTGACCTGGAGACATGAAGAAGGAAGCAGTTGAGACTTAGGAGTGACAATGACAGCAGAGGTAGCAAAGAAGCAGCAATACTGCACAGTTCATAGGCCACACCACAAAAACAGCAATGTAGCTAGTTGCTTTACAATGAAGAAGAGGCAGATGAACAGTTTGACAGTAACTTAGTTTAAACAAGCGGGATGGCAGAATTAGGGAGAGGGTGCATAGCTGGAGCTAAAGGATAAAAGACCATAAAGATAAGTTAAGATAAACTGCAGGTCCTGGTATTTAGAAAAGTTCCTGAGATCTGGCAAGCTTTTAAGGCTTAAAGTCTCAGACACTCCAGGCCTGGGGGCTGTGACAATGCCAACTGTCAACAGCAGAGGAATTCTGACACCTCGGCCCACCACATACTATACCAGTTGCTGCTAGGGGCTTAGAAGTCCCAATTTTCTAAGTCTACATAGGAGACGACACTTGTAGAGTGCAGAGTCCTAGCTTCCTAGGTGTATAAAAGAGGTGCTCACCCTTGGAGAACGGGGAGTTCTGATACCAAGGCCTGTAATGAGAATTCTAACACAGATGGGCTCTTGCTGCCGATGCTGCTACTGCTGCCAAACATTCAAATTTACAAAAGTTGCCAAAGCACTTAATGGATTTCTTATGCAATCATGATTTCTGTTAAGGCAGAACAAAAGGACCACAGCTGGCTAACTGGTGATAGACAGTGCCAGCACCACATTATCAGCCTTTACAGTGTTCTCTTTTGGCCAGCATAAGGAGTAATGAGTGGCATCCAATTTTTACTTTATAGATTGTTTCCTCTTCACCATTATTGAGGGTGCATATCTTCATATACATATATCCATTTGCCTGTTTTTTGTTTTCTACCTTTGTGAACAGCCTGTTTGGGTTTTTTTTGCCCATGTAACTACTGAATAGCATATTTTTCTTATTAATTTATAAGTACTATTCACTAATTAGGATATATACCATTTGCTTATTGTAAATAGTTTAACATATTAATCAGTTTATGTCATCTTTGGCTTAATTTATGATTTTATAAATTATTTTTCAAGGCTTGTGTTATAGACATCACACACACTTACCCTTTTCCCTAACCAGGATCCGAGACGTCAAAAATGATTCTGAGAAGACCACAGATCCTAAGCATCCTCCTCCTCTTCCCAGCAGGTCAGGAATGTCATAGATGGTCATACAAGCCTGTGTCAGTGAAAAGAAGGGCCAGAGCCATTATCAGCCTAGCATTTCAAGAGGAGATCCATGGGCTGGAGAGATGGCTCAGTGGGTAAGAGCACTGACTGTTCTTCCAGAGGTCCTGACTTCAATTCCCAGCAACCACATGGTGGCTCACAACCACCTTAAATCTGGTGCCCTCTGCTGGCCTGCAGGCAGAAGACTATACAAAATAAATAAAATCTAAATTTTTTTTTTTTTTTTTAAAGAGGAGATCCACAAGAAACACACCAGACTACTGCTGCAAGACACATGGCAAAAGAATACTGACAAATCTCTAAGGATCTATGCTGAAATACATTCTGAACTGAAAAATGCCATCAGGCTGTCCAATACGTGATCCTTGACTTGAGACATGCACAGGCTGGAAGGATAGTACCTTTATATTCTTATAAATTCCCTCATATTATCATCCTCCTAAGAAGCAACATAGTCTTTCTTCTTTTTTTTCCTTTTTAAACTTAAAACTGTTTTTTTATGAGTATGCTGTGTGTGTGCAGGAACATACAGAAGCCAGAAGAGGGTTTTACATTTCCAAGAGCTGCAGTTACAAACAGTTGTGAGCCAACCCACATGAGGGCTGTCGACTGAGTCTGGGACCTCTGCAAGAGCAGTCAGTGCTCTTAACTGCTGAGCCATCTCTCCAGCACCACAGCCTTAATTCTCTTCTTTTATTTTTGTAAATTTATTTATTTATTTATTTATTTATTTATTTATTTATTTATTTATATGAGTGCTCTATTTGTATGTGTGCCTGCATGACAAGAAGAGGGCATCAAATCCCATTGTAGATGGTTGTGAGCCACCATGTGGTTGCTGGGAATTGAACTCAGGATCTCTGGAAGAGCAGACAGTGCTCTTAACCTCTGAGCCATCTCTTCATTCTTGATAATGACAGCCTATAGAATCAGAGCTGTTTCCTCAGGCTTTTGAACACCCATTCACTTCACACTCACGGCATCACACTTCACCAATCCTTTGGCTTGGGCTTCAGTTCCCTCTCAGTGAGGCAGGAAAGGTACTGGGAAAGGTATTCACTAAGCTGGTATACAGGCCTGTCTCCATGGGTATTTGTGAGTACGCAGTAGCACACAGCTGCAAATGATCATTCCAGCCCAGCAGAGCCTCCCGCTCTCTTAGCCATGACTATGCTCATTGTGACTTCAGCTATTCAGGGCCAATAGCAGCAGAAAAGTATTAAATGGTCAACTCTAGAGATAAGCAAGGCGTGGGTTTTAAACTACATTCCATTCTGGACAGAATGGTTACATTTTATGCCTAGGATATGAACCATCCCTTTGTTCACAGCACTCTAGTGCATATACTACTTATCTGTTAGTCTATAGCCGTCTGAGTTATCAGACTGACTTGTCATAGTGTTTTCTTGGTTTTGACAGAGTGAAAAATATTTTTAACACAGAGTTAAGAATGAGGGTTACAAGGGAAAGAGAAGTACTCAGAAAGAAAAGTCAGACACATAGACAGGTCTCTGTGACTTCAAGGCCAGCCTGGTCTACTTAGTAAGTTCTAGGCCAACCAGCAGTGGATATAGGCTTCTCTAGAGTTGCCAATTCTAATCTATTTAAAAATTGACCCTGTGCTGTTCTTGGTGGTACATGACTTTAATCCCAGCACTGGGGAGTCAAAGACGTGGGGAACTCCATGAGTTCAAGGCCAGTCTGATCTACAGAGCTAGTTCCTCACTATGTCCCAATTCCTTCCTTTGAGAATAATAATGTATATTTTGTGCCACTGTATGCTAAGAGTATGGGTGGTGGTTTGAAAGAAAATGGCCCCCAAAGGGTATGGCACTATTGGGAGGTGTGGCTTTGTTAGAGTAGTATGGCCCTGTTAGAGGAAGCGTGTCACTGTGGAGGCAGGCTTTGAGGTCTCATATATGCTCAAGATACCACCCAGTGTCTCAAGACCACTTCTTGTTGCCTGCAAGCCAAGATGTAGCACACTCCAGTACTTCTCCAAAGCCATGTCTGCCTGCACACTGTTATGTCCCACCATGATGATGAGGATAATGGACTAAACCTCTGAAAATGTAAGCCACCCCAACTAAATGTTTTTCCTTTATAAGAGTTGCTGTGGTGATGGTGTCTCTTCACAGCAATAGAAACTAAGACACTATGAAATTTGCTTTATTTGACAGGAGGTTCAATTAAGAGATTACCTTGAGTCTCAGAAGAGACTTGGACTTTTAAATTTTTTTTTTTTTTTTCGAGACAGGGCTTCTCTGTAGGTTTGGAGACTGTCCTGGAACTCTCTTTGAAGACCAGGCTGGCCTCGAACTCACAGAGATCTGCCTGCCTCTGCCTTCTGAGTGCTGGGATTAAAGGTGTGTGACACCACCGCTTGGTTTAAATATTCTTGAGACTAAAAGGCTATGGGGGTTTTTGAAACTGAACTAAATTTGCATTATGATATGGTTATGAGACAATGGGGACTACAGAATGGAATGTGGTGGTTTGAATGCAATGTCCCCCATAATCCTGGACATTTGAACACTTGGTCCCCAGTTGGTGATTGTTTGGAGAGGATTAGGAGGTGTGGCCTTGTTGGAAAGTATGCCATGGGGATAGACTTTGAATTTTGAAAGACTTGTGCCATTTCCAGTTAGTGCTCTCTGGTTTATGTATGAGGAGTAAGATGTGGCTCTCAGTTGCCTGCCTGCCTGCCTTGCTGCCATGCTCTCCACCATGATGCTGGTGGACTCTTATTCCTGCAAACTCTTCCTTGTATAAGTAGTCTTGGCCATAGTATTTTACCTCAGCAATAGAAACCCTAACTAAGACTCTCACTAAAGTGTACCTTTGGGTATCTTCTTTTTTTTTTTTTTTTTTTTTTTTTTTTTTTTTTTGCCTAGAGTGGCTGGTCAGAGAGCTCTTGAGATCTGCCTGTCTTCATGTTCCCAAGTCTGGAGTTACAGGTACATGAAGCCATGTCTGGCCTTTTACACAGGTGTTGGGGATTCCAATTCAGGGCTTCATGGTTACTGAGCCATCTCTTCTCAGCACATCTTTCATGTGCTGATCTCTAACCGTATACTTCCCTTCTTATTTTTACCTTTCTTTCTTCCTTCCCCATTCCACCCTCACTTCACTACTGTATTATTGATACTTTTGGCTCATTCTGTGTTAGTTTCCATGGCAGCAGCAGCCTGCCAATCGCTATGCCAGCTTCTTTTGCTAGATTTAGATTAGATGACAGTGCAGACCGGCCACACTCCCTACTCAGGCCCTTTAGCAACTAACACTTTGTACAAACCTCTAACCTCAGTTTATGGCACAAGATTTTAGGCTCAGCTTTTTAAGTTCTGAAATTTATGTGGGTACCAGGAAAAAGCAATTAACCAATTAACCAAGTTTGGAGAGAAACAGCTTTATGCCCAGATAACCATGGGAAAGGTTTCACAAATGGCCAGGACTGCAGACAACCTTGAATAAAGTTACAAGCTTCCCTCCTGATAAGACACAAGCCTTAGAAAGACCTAATAATGAAAATAAGAAAAATACTCAGACACAGACAGAGGAATTTAGATGACATTGACCAGGTTGACCTCAAACTCACAGAGATCCAACTGTCTCTGTCTCCTGATTGTTGGGATTAATGGTGTCTAACATCACACCTGGCAGTATCACACCCAATACACAGTTTAGACTTTTTCAAAGGGACCATACAGAGTATAAAACAATCATTATTCACAAGTTTAAAAACTATTCTTGTAGTGTTAAGAACTTGGAAGTGCTTTTCTACTGGGGATGGGGATACATTTTTATTATTAATTTGAGGGGGACAGAGGATGCATTTGTAACAAGTCATCTACAGCTATTCTGCTCAGCTGCATATGACCACAGCTTTCTGGAATTAAGAAAGCGCACATATATACTACAATCAGAATCTTGGTTTTAATCTACCATCTTTTCTTGTTCTGTTTGCCAATACTCTTTATGTCAGGGTTGCCCTAGAGTAAATGGAGCCTTTGGCTTAGGGCTAAAAATAGCCTATAAATTCCGACTTCTTCAGGCTGTGCCACTTTACATCAGTGACCAATATTCTAATATATATCTATTTCTATTTCATTTATTTTTGTTTTGTTTTTTTTGAGACGCGGTTTCACTATGGACTCCTAGCTGGTCTGGAACTCTCTATGTAAATCAGATTGGCCTCAAACACAGAGTTCTGCATGCCTTTGCCTTTGGAGTGCTGGGATTAAAGGCATAAACTACCATGCCTGGCTCAGTTTATTTTTAAATCATTCCATTGTCCCAGCAGAGGATACGGAAAACTCTGCTCTTACTACCTGACTTCACGAGATGCACAGGTATCTGTGCACTGTTGTGTAATTCCCCTGGCTCCTGTGAAGGAAGACAGTGCAGATTTTACAGTGGTAAGAGGCCCTTGAAAGGCTGGAGAGATGGCTCAGCAGTTAGGACATGTGTTGCTCTTCCAGAAGGTCTGAATTCAGTTCCCAGCACCAATACTGGACAGCTCACCACTGATTGTAACTCCAGCTCCAGAGGATCTGACACCCTCTTCTGCTCTCTACTGGATACCAGCACACATGGGGCACACACACAAATAAAAATAAAATCTTAAAGGGAAAACTTGTTTGTTGTGCTCAGCTCACATTTCCACACAAAGTAATCACAATCTCAGCTGCCTGTAGAACTTCTCAGTCATCTACTTTCAACATATCCTTTGCAGATGGCTCGCTATAGCCACCACAGCCAGCTGACTCTTAAGAATGCTGCTAACTGCTTACCGTTTTTACAAAGGATAAGCTATCTTCATTATCCAGAGGCACAATTCTAGAAGAAGAGACAGTAGAGAAATACATTACAAGATTATGGTTTCTGTTTGTTTGAAAACAGGGCCTCATATAACCCAGGCTGGCTTCAATCTCACTATGCAGCTGAGGAATAGAGGCAAGAACACAGAAGTTTAAGGCTAGCCTGGGCTATAGGAGACCCCTCTCTCAACAAAGAACAAAACAACAAACATTGGGTTACATGTGTACAGAATTAGCACTGGAAAGAATAATGTCAGTACCTGACCCCAGCCTCTTAACTTCCCATGAGACAAAAACTAGGTACAGGGGCTCAGACAAGCCCAGCATGTGCAGGTCCACGTCTGGAATGGCACCTCTCCCCGAGTGTAATGTGCTGAGGGCAATAATGGTAGCAGCTATAAGATCTCTCTCTCTCTCAAATACAGTCTTACATATCCCAGGCTGGCATTACAGTTTCTAGGTATTGGAGGATGACCATGAACTTACGACCTTATTGCCCTTCCTGAGTCATCTCACTGGCCCTCAGGTCTCAAACTCTTGATCCTCCTGCCTCTGCCTCCTGAGTGTTGAGAGTCCAGGCATTTACCACAATTGGACAGCCTCTTCTCTTTGTCCTTACACTTCCCCATGAAAGGAGTCACCATAATTGCACCTACCTTCCCTGGTTATTCACAGCATGTATATGAAAAGCCACCTTAGAGCTGTAGACCAGAAAGGAAACAAAACACAAGTCAAGACTCTTGTTCAACACTGGGTCAGAATCCTCTGAAATACTTGCCTCCTCAGTGTATCTTCCCCAGACTGTCAAGGCCACTCAATCAACTGATGTTACACCTTTTGTTGTTGTTTGTTTTATAAACAGGGTCTCACTATGTAGCTCCAGCTGTCCTGGAACTCACTCTGGAGACCAGGCTGGCCTCAAACTCATAAAGATCCTTCTGCCTCTGCCTCCCAAGTGCTGGGATTAAAGGCATGCCCCATTATGGCTGGAGTTTCATCCCTGCTTAGTTATTTTAGATGCCTTTCTCAAGGTCCCATGACATTACCAGGTATGGAGTCAGGATGTTATTCCATCCACGGCCCTGCATCTGTGCTGGTTCCCAAACCTGCCCTAACTCTTGGCTGTGAGCAGGCACAATACACACTGCAGACTGACTGTGAACAGCCCTCTCCTGGCCCAAGGCTCCTGCTCCTCAGCGAATACAGACTGCTCTGATCCTCCTCCTTCCCTGTACTTTTGGGTCAACTTGCCAGCCCTGCTACGTACCCAAGCAGAAGGTGCTTTTGCTAGTCAAAGTCCACTGCTACGAAGCCACAGCAGGGTCAAACCTCCAGAACTGAAGGACAACTTTCCGGCTTTCCCTCTGGGAGACAAAGGTCTTTCTGAGACAGTCTCACTGTGTATCCTTTGACTGGCCTAGAGCCTGCTCTGTAGATCAGTCTGGCCTTAAACTTGCAGTGATGCTCCTGCCTCTGCCTCCAGAGTGCTGAGATTATAGACATGTGCCACCAAGCCCAGCCTTGGCTTACTCTTTCTGTAAAAGTTTTTTTAAACGTTTATTTTATGTATGTATATGTGTGCATACCACCTTGCACATGTGGAGCTCAGAGGGCAAGTTGCAGGAGTTAGTCCTCTCCACTCACCATGTGGGTTCTGGGGATTGAATTCAGGTCACCAGGCTTGGCTTACCTGGTAAGCATCTTGACAGCCCAAGAAGGTTGTAAAATTGCATGTGCTTATACAAGTTTAATTTCATGTTTTAACAAGAACTAGTCAATAACACATGAGCTTCCTGTGTCTATGAACTGTTCCCTCTTCCTCTCTATTCTAGGGGAGGATGAGCTAATATGATGAACTTAGGGACCTCAGTGAAGTGATCCTGGTGGAGGGAAGCAGTTATTATTTCAGATTGAAGACTAGCCCAGGAGACTTTCTTTTTGCTCAGTTATTTCTCCTTCTGCCTTCTTCCAGCTAGGATGGTTCATTTAGGCCCAAGAAACTTTATAGGTGGCATGGGCAAGAGCTGGAGGAACAGAGTGACTGTGTCAGCCTTGTGGCAACAGAGAAGGTCTCACTACCACAACAACTAAGATCTACTTGTCCAATCACTCTATAAGCTGAGTGCTCCAGAAAACAGACATGGAAGGTTCCCTATCTCACTTAAATCAGCACAGCAGGAAGTAAAGGGGCTCTCAACCCAGATCTTAAGGAACAGATGGTACAGAGCAGCACAGCCAGAGGAGGGGGAGACGCCTCTATTTCTCCCCTTTCATAGCTAGGACCTCTGGGAAAGGAGACCTGGAACAAGATGAAGTCCTGCACCACAGAGTTCTTGCTCTTCCCTCCACTCCTGGAGCTGCAGTGATGCAACAGAGTTTTCTGTTACATCAATCAACTAACCTATTTACCAAATTCTCCTTTCTTACTACTCTGTGTCACAGAAGTAGAAAAAGGTGGGGCATGCACTAACAGCTAGTATGGCAGGGCACACCCAGGAGTATTTTTTGTTTTTTTTAAAGATAGGGTGTCTTACTATTATGTAGCTCTGGCTGTCCTGGAACTTGCCAAATGGAGCAGGCTCTAACTCACAAAGATCCACCTGCCTCTGTCTCTGAAGTATTGGGATTAAAGGAGTGTGTCACCATGTCTGGTTAGAAGTAGTCTTAAATAAACTTTCCAGTACTGGTCTTTCATATCCTTTGTATAAAACTGCACACACACAAAAAACAGTCCTCTTGTGGGATGGAGGGTGGAGTGGACTGCATTCAGGAAACTGAGCTATGGACAAAGACAGCACAGAGCTGTACTGCAAAATGCTGGGAGATGTGACAGGGGCACAAGGAGCCAGACTCCCTACCACCTGAAAGGCAGGTGAGCTCCAGAGCAAGTCTCCTAATTAGTGATTATCTTCACGTGCCAAGTTTCCTGACCCCCACAACTCTACCTTTGGGGTTCCCCGGCTCTACCTCCTTACCTCTGGGACCAGGCCCATCAGGACTCCCACAGTTCTAGCATAAAACTGCCTCACATTTTAGCTTCAAAACCTATGTGTGACTCTTCCTGTTACAGTTTCTCCACCCTGATCATGAGTGATTCTCCTCCATCCTGTTATTTCACTGGACTGTTTCTCAAAAGGAGAGAAGGGTGGAATATAAATTATAAGGGACAATGGGGTCTTTAATTTTTTTCTCAATTCTCATAAAAAAAAAAAATACCAGTTATAGCTTACCGTAGATCGGCTTTAAATGGAGCCAACTCAGTGACCACTAGCCCAGATTCCAGAGTATGTTCTGCTACCTCCTTGGCCTGTAAAAGCAGCAACCAAACAGTTAGTTTCCAAGCAGCACAAGTATATATACACATATCATTGACGGGAAAGGCCCTTCTAAAAGTGGCCAGTGCCCTTCCCTTCTATGTGACTACTTTGTATACCTCCAAAGCTTAAAGTGAAAGCATCAGGTTATGGGGACAGGTGCCTGCTGGACTCACAGGAAACTGTACTTGGGCAGGGGCGCACTGGCATCTGATCTGCTGGAGAGATGGAAGCAGCCAGTTAGGCAGCTGGAGTGCTGCTATGTGAGCACGAGAAACATGCTGTCGTGTCCCCTCTCCCCTGGCTCTGGGGAGGGACCAATGCCCTCAGTTTCTGCTAGACATTAAGAATATTTAAAAAACTCAAGCTATAGATGATCAGTTAGGGAAAAAAGATGTAAGAACATATACTGAAGGACATCCCATGGCTTTGCACAGGCTTTCTACTCTGTAGCAGCTAAAGGAGCTAAGAAAACCCACATCATCACCAGGATTCAAGTTTAGTAGGAAGGGGGATGGATGCCAAGGAGTTGGAGACTACAGCTACAGTCCCTCTGATATCTACATCATACACAACCTTTCCACTGTCAACTGGCTTCCTTCAGGAAAAGTCCTACTGGCTTTGGAAGGCATCAAGCCGTCTCTTCTCATCTTACTGGGTCAGATTTAGGAATCCAACTCAGCAGGGCAGGTTAACCGCAAACAGCAAGGAAGAAAATGGTCAGAAAGCGAGTATATTCATGCTTGCTTAGGAAAGGTAAGTCAGATTCTCTAGCCTGGATTGAGTTTTAAACACTCAATCACAGGAAATTACTTCATAGCTCAAAATAAGCTTTACTGCTTCATTAAAATTCAATGTAATAATCTGTTTTTCTTTGGCGTCTCAAAGTGTCCTGTCTATACTAGTAACCAAACAATGACTTTACTACAAATAAGTGTTTATAAAGTCTCATAAAATAATAGCAGCATGCCCAAGGCAGCAGCAGCTCAAGTGTGCAGGCTTGGCTACCAATGCCCTAACTCACATAAAAGTGAGCACTGAAAGGCATCCAAAGAACAAAATGGTTAGGATGATTTACAAAATAATGACTACCAAAACAGAAATATGGTACTTAAATTACCTTTGCCAGACTGTAAGTTTTAGCATAACATGCAATGCCAGCCAAAACAGCCTCAATAACAGCAGCATATATCTGGGATAAGAGCCTACTTTAAAAACAAAAAAATAATGGTTAATATAGTATCACATAGTCTCATAAAAAACTGTATGCCTGGGGCAGAAGAGATGGCTCAGTGGTTAAGAGCACTGGCTGCTCTTCCAAGAGGACTAGGGTTCAATTCCCAGCACCCTCATGGTAGCTCACAACTGTCTGTAACTCAGTTCCAGGGGATCGGATGTCATTTTCTGGCCTCCACAGGCACTGCACACACATGGTACACAACATACAAGCAGACAAAACACTTCTTCACATAAAATAAATTTAAAAAATATTCTTTAAGGAAAGTTCTAGGCCCATAAACAGTGGTCCATAAGGATCTTATAAAAAGATGGGGTCCTGTGTGTAAGGCAGGCTAGCCTCAAACTATCTTCTTGCCTTCCAAACTGCTGGTATTACAGGCATAAAGCAACAGGCTTGCCTCCCAAAAAATCCAATTTTAATAATGGCTTTAAATAAACCAAGACTGGTGGCTGGAGATGACTCAGGGGTTAAGAGCATTGACTGCTCTTCTGTAGGTCCTGAGTTCAATTCCCAGCACCCACATGGTGGCTCACAGCCATCTACAATGAGATGTGGTGTGGTGACCTCTGCTGGTGTGCAGGCATACATGGAGGCAAAATGTTACATACATAATAAATAAATAAATCTTAAAAAAAAATAAACCAAATCCCACTGAACTCTAAATTCATGTCGAAAGAAACTCAACTTTAACTCATAGCTCTGGTTTAACTCATAAACTGTAGGTGCTGGGAATTGTTTGGCAAGGAATTGATAAGACTTCACAGAGACTCTTCTAATGGGTTGAGGGTGATAAGAGCTTGACATCTGGGCTAATCCAGCAAGCAATGTCTTGCAAAGTAGAATAAGTTGTCTAAGGTCACAGAAACTCACAGTAAACTTGAACTTGACTCTCAGCTTAGTGCCACACCACACTGTCATCTCCTTCAATTCCTTACCTCCTGTCTCACAACTCCACTTTACAGGTCATAATTCAGAGTTAAAGAAGAAAACAGAACAAAGAAGTTCAAATAACAAAATGACAAGCCAGGATTGGTGGCGGATGCCTTTGATCCCAGCCCTGTGGAGGCAGAGGCAGGCGGATCTCTGAGTTTGAGGCCAGCCTTGTCTATATAGTGAGTTTCAGGCCAGCCAAAGCTACACAGTAAGATCCTGTAGGAGATGCTGATGACACAAAAGCAGGAGGCCCACCAGTTAAGACAAGCATAGACAACACATTTTTGGGATAGAAAGATTGATGAGTGGTTAAGAACACCTACAGCCTTTGCAGAGAACCCGGATTGAATTCCTAGCACTAATGTGAGGCAGTTCACAACCACCAAGGGATCCAACACACTCTTCTGGCTTCCTTGAGCACTGAACTCATACACATACACATACACATACACATACACATACACATACACATACACATTCTCTCTCTCTCTCTCTCTCTCTCTCTCTCTCTCTCTCTAATTAAAATGAGGAAAATAGGGGAGATGGCTCAGAGGTTAAGAACACTGGCTGTTCTTCCAGAGCAATTCAATTCCCAGCAACCACATGGTGGCTCACAACCATCCGTTATGAGATCTGGTGCCCTCTTCTGGTGTGCAGATATACATGGAAGCAGAATGTTGTATACATAATAAGTAAATGAAATCTTTAAAAAAAATGAGGAAAAAAATTGGCAACTCCACATATCCACATATCAGTACTTCCTGGTTGTTAGTCAGGCCACAGCAGAGGATATAGTGGTAGGAAGAGGCCTGGCAGGTACGCTAACAATCAGTTTGTCCACTTCTTGGTAAGAATAGAAAGATTTCTCCACACCAGGACAATTGAGTGCATGATTTATGCTTTTTGTTGTTATTGTTTTGTTTCTGAGGCAGGGGCTCATGAGGCTTAAGCCAGCCCTGAAGTTGTTTTGTACCCAGGAATGATCTTGAACCATCTGGATCCTCCTTGAACGCACATAGGAAGATATAGACGTGTACCACCAAACTTCAAGATAGACAAAGATACCCGCCTCACTGCCTTGGTTCAAATATGACTCAATCTAACACTGGCTAACTACCACCCCCCACTCTGATGGGGGTCCTCTTCTGTATATATGTTCCTCCTATTGGTTGATGAATAAAACACTGTCTGGCCAATGACGCAGGAAGATAGGCGGGACTCGGACGAGGAGAATTCTGGAAAAGGTAGGCAGAGAGCCTGCCAAACACAGTTGCCATGTAGACCACAAAGAGTAAGAAAAGACCACGTAGAAATACTTAGATTAATAGAAATGGGTTAATAATTAAGACAGAGCTAGCCAGTAAGACTCCCTAGTCACTGGCCAACAGTTTAATAATTAATATAAGTTTTTGTGTGTTCACTTGGGGCTGAAGCGGCGGCAGGACCTAGTTGGGATAAAAGAAACCTCTGCAACAGTACTCCTTGATTGAAATACCACTCAATATAACACTAGCTACTCTGCTCTACTTGGCCTGCCTTACTTCAATACAGAATATGGCCGATACAGTGTTAGTGTCACCTTTACCAGGGTTCCACAAGGTCCAGGTCCCCACTAGCACTGTGATCTTAAATAACTGACATGGGCCTAAGTACTCTTTAATATTAACCCTGGATGCAAGACATAAATGGATTTAGTTTAGGCAAATATCAAATGGTCCAAAATGAGAATCCTCGGCAGTGGCTAAATACAGAGGGCATGGAAATGGAAAAAAGGGTCAGCTTGCTACTGAAGTGAAAGAAATGTATAGACAAGAAAAGCCTGATATGTACATTATGGTTAAAGTAACATATAATCTAAAAACAAAATCTTTTACTCCCAAAGCTTAATTATGTGTGTAGGTACCTCAGAGGCCAGAAAAAGGCACCAGATCTCCCAATCTAGAGCCACAGGTGGCTGCGATGAAATGGCGATGGCATCCTGTCCTGACTTTAGCTTGTGTCCGCCTAGACATTCTTCAACCTACCATCTCCTCTATAGCCACATCTGCCTTGGCAACACTTTTGGGACTGACCATGGCCCTGACCATGGTCCAGAAGTATTAACCTGAATAACTGACATTTGTGCAGGCTAAAACAAAAACTAAAATAACTAACAGGAAGTGTAAATCAGAAATCATTGTCATGTGGTGTCTGGAAAATACTGCTAAGTTTACAGAAAGATGTTGCTCTGATCTTGCCAAAACAATGATGTAATTGTGTTTTGTTTTGTTTTTTTAAAAAAACAAAACAAAACACTGTACCCTGGACTAGAGAGAAGGCTCAGTAGTTAAGAACACTGATTACTCTTCCAGAGGTTCTGACTTCAATTCCAGCAACCACACGGCAGCTCATAACTATCTATGATAGTATTTTGGGGCTAGAGAAATGGCTCAGCAGTTAAGAGCACTGGCTGCTCTTCCTGAGGAGCCAGGTTCAATTCCCAGCACCCATATGGCAGCTAACACCTGTCTGTAACTCCAAGATCTGACACCCTCACACAGACATACATGCATGCAAAATACCAATGCAAATGAAATAAAAATAAATTATAAAAAAATAATAGGATCTGATGTCCTCGTCTGGCATGCAGGCATACATGCAGACAGAGCACTCATACCAAAAACAAACAAAACAACACAATCAAACAAAAAACGCTGTACCCTCCAAGCTTCAGCCCCAACAGACTGTGAGCCCATCCTCAATCAACAGTTTATAAAAGAATTCAAATACTTTTAATTGGCTTAATTAGCATAGTTGTCAATCACTATCTCTAGTGGATCATTTAAGTGAGCAGCTTGACGTAAGTGCTAGGAAGTTAACTCTGGTCCTCTTAACCACTGAGCTACTTATCTCTCTAGCCCCTGAAAACACAACCTGTTTAGGTACACAGGAAGATAGATATTAAAGATAATGCCAAAAAGAATTATGGATTGTCTATTTTCCTATTTTCTGTATTGATTATATAATTTGTATTCTACTCTTCTGGACAGGAATTTACTCTGCACTTGTGACAATTCATCTCCTTCATCCTCCTCAGCACTGAGACTGCAGGTGTGAGCTGCCACACTTGGCTCCCCCACCACAATAAAAGGCAGACTTAACTGGGCATGGCTGGCTCACACCAGTAATTCCAACACCCAGGAGACACTGGTGATGGGGGATGCCCTGTCTGTATGTTCTGAATATATGTTTCTCTTACTGGTTTAATAAAACACTGATTGGCCAATAGCTAGGCAGGCAATATAGGTGGGGCTACCAGACAAGGAGAATGCTGGGAAGAGAAAGGCAGAGAGTGAGCTGCCAGAGAGACGCCATGTAGCTACCAGGCAGATAAGACACTGGGCACTCTCCAGTAAGAGAGGGCTATGTAGAAATACATAGATTAATAGTTACGGGTTAATAATTAAGAGAGAGCTAGCCAGTAAGAAGCCTAAGCCATCGTCCAAACAGTTTATAATTTATATAAGCCTCTATGTGTTTATTTGGGACCGAAGAGCTACGGGACCGGGCAGAATAGAAACTCTGTCAACACACAGACAGGAGAGAACTCAGCAAATTCCAGACCAGCCAGACCCTTGTAATGGTTAATATTATCACCTTGACACAAACTAGAATCACCTAGGAGAAAGCTTTGGGCATGTCTGCAATAGATTACCTAGACTAGGTTTTCTCTGATGACTTACCTAAACGTGGGCTTTACCACCTATGCACACAAGGCAGTCAGTCCTTTGCGTCCCGACTGTGGGTGCAATGAGATCAACTACTTCATGTTCTTCCTGCCATGAAGTCTTTGCCATGACAGACTGCACACTTGAACTCTGAGCAGGAATAAACCTTTCTTCCTTAAACTTAGCTTCATCGTGTATATTTCTTTATTAATTTATTATCATCATCATCATTATTACTGTATGTATATGTATGATGTGTGTCACGGGGTGAGGACTGTGCATGTGCCATAGCACATGTTTAGAGGACAACTTATGGTTGTCAGTTATTTCCATGTATCTTCCTGAGTCAGGGTCTTTCTGGTTGTTCTTGCTGCTCTGTGTACTTCTATGCTAGTTGGCTCATGAGCTTCTGGGCAATTCCTCTGTCTCTGCCTCCTATTTTGACACAGGAATACTGGAATTACAGATAGAAGCCATGAAATCCAGATTTTTTGGGTTCTGGGAATAGAATTCAGGTTATCTACCTTGCTCAGAAAGCACTTTTACCTGTTAAGCCATTGCTAGCACTTTAATTTTTACTTAAAAAACATTTATTTATTGATTTATATATGGGAAGGTTTGCAGCATGTACCCATGTTGTGTAGCAATTTCCTTCCATATGAAATAGTCCATCCTAGAGGAAAAGCTCATTAAAACTCAGGAAATTATACTCTTAAATTTTTTTTCTTTTCTTTCTTTCTTGCTTTTCTTTTCTTCTTCTTCTTTTTTTTTTTTTTTTGGTTTTTCAAGATGAGGTTTCTCTGTATAGCCCTGGCTGTTCTGGTTGGCCTTGAACCCAGAGATCCACCTGCCTGGGAGATCCACGAGTCCTGGGATTAAAGAACATGCCTGGCAAGACACAGGAAATTCTAAAGAAAAGCTGATGAAGACTCAGAAAGTAAACAACTTATTCAGTCTCAGAAGTCCCCAAAACTGACCAACCACACAAGGCCCCTCTCTCTCCAGGGTTATGTGTGCAGCAAAGGCTGCTAAGAAGACTCTCCAATCCATTCAGCTGCTTGCAAGCCATGCAGAGAGCTTCACCACCCAGGCTGGAGTGGGCAGTCAGTGACAAAGTCGTAGTTGCCTTTGAGACATCCACACTTATATGAAGTAACCCCAATAAACTCAGGGGCTTGCCAAGTTGAAATTCTGTGGTAAAGTGAGTAGATATTTGTTTGGTCTCCCCGGGGACAGTGTCACACCTCAGTGCACCATTTGCACGTGGAGGTCAGAGAACAAGTGGAGAGTTGGTTCTGTCCCTACTCTGGGTGCCAGGGATTGTAGGCCTGGCAGGGAACACTCTAACCCGCTGAGCCACCTTGCTCCCCTTCCTTTTTTTTAAGTTTTATGTTTTGGCCAGGTATTTTTATCATGGTGATAAGGAAAATAACTAATACAACCCTGTCTCAAGAAAAAAAATATAGTAAGCAGACCTTCATGTGTAGTGAGCGATTGTCATGTACATCAGTAAGCAGACTGTCGCATGTAGTAAGCAATGTCACATGGCATGCCTCACGTCTGTTGTTGCAGAAGCTTCACTATGATCAATGCACAGTCTTTGAGAGCTTGTTTGTGCTCCCTGGACTGATAATCTCTCATCTCCAACTGGAGAGGGAAGTCATCATTTTGCAGCCTGTGTGGGAAGGGGATGGCACTGTCTAGCCAGGCAGATTAACCAAAGCAACCCTGGTTTTCAACAGGAATGCTGCAGCCAGATTACCCTCACACACAGAAACCTAGTTCATGCTGAAGTGATCTACAGACAACTATCTGTGGCCAATCCCTGCAGGCCTTTGGAAAGAAGTGGTTTCGAAGTCACAGTTATGCTGGGCACTGGAGAGGGAAGTCAATACTAAGTAGGGCCTCTCTAAAGTTATACAGCTGATATTTAGAACACAGCTCTGTTCCACAGGCCTGAATGTCAAGTCTAAAGAAAATACTCTTCAGACCGTATAAGAAAACAGATTTCACCAAGGAACTGCAGAATTTTTTGGTTTTGGAAAAAAACCTCAATTAAACATGTTTTACTGTGTACGAAATGTATGAAAGGAAATAATGTCATACAAATGTATGAAAGGAAGTTATGTCATGCAAATGTATGGGCGTACACACAGGAAGTTTTCTTTGAAATGACTCATTTACAAATGAAAGAGTTCCAGAGGGAGGAGCAGATGACAAAGCTGGCAAAGCCCTCTGGCCTGGGTTCCAAGCTGAGAGACTGACTGGGAAATGCACAGCAATGTCTCCTCAGGACCAGAATCCAATCACTGCTGACCTCAAGGGGAAGCAGGAGGGCCACAAAGTTGAGAAGATGAAATAAAACTAGCACAGGACTTACATTTGTTCAGTTGTCCTGGGCAGCTTGTCGTCATCGCCTGTAAGGGAAATGTTTCCTTTGAAGTTAAATACAACACCTGCACAGACTAACAGTGGTACACGGCTTTTCCCAGTGCTTTCTTGGACGTTTACCCCCTCATCCTTTTGCAACTCATTCCATAGAATCTTAGGCTCCGGAATGTTTTAACTTTTATTTTAGAAAAAATTCAACTTTGAGGTTCTGCTCTCCCCCATCCTCCCCACCCCCATATTTATTCCCTAAGTAATCTTTCTGGAGTTTCCTGGTTTCTGTATTAATGGCTTCTGATGTACTGACCTTCGGGAAGCAATGCTGGGAGCCATGCTAATTCAAGTTTCCCCCATGTCTCTTTGGATACATGAAGCTTCAGAGTACCCCAGCAAGCAGTGTCCCCCTGCTCAGCCTAGCCCTCCTGAAGGACACTGTGCAGGCCCTCAGCTATGGGGTGTCCTATCACGGTCAATTCGCCCTCTTCTCACAAAAACAATTAGACAGGACTTCAGCTATGCTCTCCAAAGTCACCCTGCTATCTCAGATTATATATCAGTAATGTTGGCCTTTCTTCCCACACTGAGAGCAGGGCAGGCACAGGCTAGACCTCATCTTCTGACACTGAGCACAGGGCAGACACAGGCTAGACCTCATCTTCTGACACTGAGCACAGGGCAGACACATGGCTAGACCTCAAACTATAGGATGAACCAACAATTTTCCCCCTGAAATACATTCTGTGAGGAATGAGTCAGACACATCAACTCTCAAGTTGCAATCAGGGAGGGAGTCAAGGCCCACAAGATGGTATTTTGCATAAAACAGTAATTTGTGTGTTAACTTCCCTCTTGTGGGAGGAACCATTATGCATTTACAGGGACTTACCCAAGTAAGGAACATGAGTAGCGCCAAAAAAGTATGTCCTTGAACATGCCAAAGGTCCCTTGGGTGAGACACACTGAGCAACCTGAACATGGGGGTGGGGGGGAGAAAGGAAGGTGAGTGTACTAGGAGCTGGTGAGCAGGCTCATGAGATTGTCCTCTAACCTCTACTCATGGCACATGCATGTCCCCACCCCACCCCACACACACACAATAATCAAACATTTTAAAAGGGGCAAACTTAGACATGTGATGCAGAAGAAACAAAAAGCAACAAGTTAATGGAATAAAGTTTATCTAACTGAAACTGATTTAATTTCTAAAGACTACTTAACTTGATTTAAACAACAGTATTATGTATATTCATTTTAAAATTTTGATTTTATTTATATTTATTTATTTGTTGAGGGGTGCATACAGGTATATCATAGTGGAATCCAGAAAACAACTTTTGGAAGTTGATTTTCTTCTTTTACCACATGAATTCAGGTGATGTCTTAGCTTTAACTGCCAGTTTAACATAGCCTAAAGTCACCTGAGAAGAGAGGCTCAACTGAGGGATTGCTCGGATTAGACTGGCCTGTGGGGCATATCTACATGGGAACTGTCTTAATTACTGGATGGAAGAGAGTCATCCCACTGTGGGCAGTGGTCTTAGGCTGTATAAGAAAGCTAGTTAAGCATCACCGAACAGCTCTCAATGAAGAACTGTGATCTCAAAGTATGAGTCAAATAAATCCTTTCCCTCCCTAACCTGCTTTGGTCAGTGTTTGTTTGCTTTTGAGACAGGGTTTCTCTGTGTAGCCCTGGCTGTCCTGGAGCTCACTTGAAGGAAGAGATCCACCTCCTCTGCCCCCTGAGTGCTGGGATTAAAGGTCTGGTCAGGGTTTTGTCACAACAACAGAAAGGGAAATGGAATACGGGAATTGAACTTAGACTGTCAGTCTGGGAAGCAAGGGACTTTAGCTGTTAAACCCTGCGTTCACTGCTATTTTTCCCACCTGGGCTACACTGTGAGGTTGCTATTGGGAGAGTCAGCCCAGGATATTGGTGAATTTACAGCTCATGAGGAAAAAGGAGGCAATACGTTTGGGTCTGGGCTGCCATTATCATTCAGCTCAGAGAAGTCAGATGGCCCACATGACACAGGAACATATTGGGACAGCTACAAATTTAGGAAACACCCAGCTTCCTTTGAACTTCATCTCTGTACAGATTAAGCTCCTCTAGGTTTTTAACATTTTATTTTTGTTCCCTGTTTTAACTTGTTCTTTTATACCACTATAGAAATGGATGTTTGGGGAGCGATGGAGAAATGGAGAGATGGGCCAGTGGTTAGCACTGGTTGCTCTTCCAGAGGACAGGGGTTCAATTCCCAGCACCCACATGGACTTCTCACAACCATCTGTAACTCCTGTTCCAGGGGATCCGATGACCTCTCCTGGCACCAGGTCAGCAAATGGTTCACAGACACACGTTCATGCAAAAATTCCATAAAAATGAAAAAAAAAAACTGATCATCAAGTGTTCCTAAGATACCAAATACAAAATGCAAAAATGCAGTCATTAAAAACTAAAGAAGGGGCTGCAGCAATGGCTCAGTTAAGACATTTGCTCTTCCAGAGGACCCAGCTTTGGTTTCCAGAACACCCATAGTGGTTCACAACCATCTCTGAGGGCACCTGGTGCACACGCAGGGAAAACATTCATATACCCAAAATAAAATAAACCTAAACAAACAAATTCTAAAAACCTCCAAACTAAAGGAGGACCAGTGAGATATCTCAGCAGGTAAAGTTGCCTACTTGTAAGCTGACAACTTGTGTTAGGTACACAGGACCCACACAGTGGGAGTACTGAACCTATTCCCATGAATACACATACATACACTAAAATAAATCAATAAAAATGTAAAACAAAAAATAAAAGCCATAAAGGAATGCTGCTGTGGTGGTCTGTGTCTATGATCTTGGTAAGATTCAGGGTCATCTTCAGCCATATATTGAGTTCAAGGCCAGCCTAGGCTACATGAGACCTTGTCTCAAACGACAAACCAAAAACAAATAATAAACCATAAAAGAATGGAAAGTAGGATAGTACAGAAAACAGCTAAATGTTTACAAATATTCATTCTTTCTATTTTAGTCTATGAATGAAAGCCATACCAGATACACGACATTTTTCTTTACTCTTTTTATGTGTATGGTTGTTTTGCTTGCATGTATGTCTGTGCACAACTTTCGTATTTGGTGCCCATGGAGGTCATCAGTGGGCATCAGACCCCCAAGAACAAGAGTTACAGACAGTTAGTTGTGAGCCACCATGTGGGTGCTAGAAACTGAAACTGGGTCCTCTGGAAGAGTAGCCAGTGCTCTAACTAAAAAGTCATCTCTCTAGCCCCACAAGGCATTTTTCTGCGACAGCATAATTTTGTTACAGATGAAACTGCTTTTGTTATCAGTCTGCACATTTTAGGTGCACTTGTTAATTTTTAAATCACCCACAGGTGAAACAGAAACGGGTGAGTAAGAGTTAGAACAGACCTGCTTTTTCATCATTGTTTTTTCTCTTTAGATTTTAACTTTAGCGGATTTATTTTTTTAAGCACATTTATTTTCTGTGTTTGTGTGTGCAAGGGTGTGCATGTGTGAGCGTGTGTGAACTCATGCCAGGACATTTTGTGGGGAGTCAGTTTTCTCTTTCTATCTGGTGGGTTCCAAGGACTGAACTCAGGTTGCCTAACTTAGTGGCAAGCCTCCCGACGCGGTGCCTGGTGTCGAGCCATCTCATCAGCTTAGGGAAGGATTTATCTTCAAGGTTAAGAATTATTATCAAACACATTTCTCATTTGTGTTACAATATTTCTGATTTCTATCAATTCCTTTTGATTCTTTCTTAGAGTCTCCAATTCTCTGCTCACTTACCTATTCTTAAATGCTGTCTACTTTATGCATTAGAGTATTAATTATTAATTATGTTTATTTTAAATTCCCTCCCCAGGTCTAGGACAATAGCTCAAAGGCAGAACAGTTGCTTAATATTCTTAAGACACTGGGCTCCATCTTACACTGCAAATAACAATAATAAAAATAAATCATATTTGAAAAATTATAAAAACTGAGTCCTATCTGAATCTGAAGGTTATAGGTTATACTACCACCCCCACCCCTTGAGACAAGTGTATTGCTATGCTACTCAAGCTAGCCTTGAACTTGTGATTTTCCTTTCTCAACCTCCTGAGTGATGGGACTACAGACATCTACCAACAGACCTGACTTGGTATGCCTGTAACTTTCTGTTGAAGCTAGACACAGTAACTCAAGTAATAGGGACTGAGATAAGCAAGCCCTTATTGTAAGATTTGATGTTAATCTGGCTGGGTATTGAGTTGTGTTTAATATTTTTTTGTAGCTCCAAGTACCATGGGCTTCATATTCTTGTACTCCTGTATGAGTTTCCCTAGGAACTTCTTGGTGATCTGCTGTTACTACACTGCAGATCTTTTGAGGTAAGAGAATAAGGGGGAGTATTCTCTACCCTTATAATTAAGTCTCAGTATTTGGGTGTGCTTGTGAAAGAGCTTCTTCTTCTTCTTCTTTTATTTGTTTATTTGTTTTGTTTTTCGAGACAGGGTTTCTCTGTATTGTTTTGGAGCCTGTCCAGGAACTCACTCTATAGACCAGGCTGGCCTCGAACTCACAGAGATCTTCCTGCCTCTGCCTCCCTAGTGCTGGAATTAAAGGCGTGCGCCACCAATGCCCAGTTGTGAAAGAGCTTAACTCTTCCTTCCCTGCTTCTCAGGAAGGCTACAGTGTGATAAGGTTAAGGGATGCTTTTCTTCTAAGTGGAATGGGACTTTGGTGAAATCTTTTATTTTGAAGAGGAGGCCTTTACTACTACTTTTCTCATATTATAAATGACTTTATCCAACCAAGAGGAATTTTTTCTTGGCTCTTTACCATTAGAGTCTGTTAGGGTTTTAGAAATTAAACCCCTGTAAATGTGGTGCTCCTTCTAAGACTGTGTCCCCTATGAGTTTCTCACCCATACTAGTCACATTCAGAGCCCAGGATTTCATTACAATTTCAACTTGAGGGGGACTGAATGTGACTCTTTGGTTTTACCTGCCCTCCAAAGCTCAGAGTGGCAGTTTGAATGGGTGTTTTTAGGAAAAAAAACACTTCAGAGTCATAATTTTGTTATTTATGTGTATGAGTATTGTGTATAATGTATGTCTTGCATCACTTGTAAGCCTTGTGCCTTAGGACTCAGACATCATTGCTGGGCGTCAGTGGCACACACCTTTAAGCCCAGCCCTTGGGAGGCAGAGGCAGGGGGATCTCTGTGAGTTCCAGGCCAGCCAAGGATACACAGAGAAACTCTGTCTTGAAAAACCCAAAAGTGTATACAGAAAACATAACCACCAAATTACTGTTTTGGTTCTGAAGTTATTAGCCTGTCCGCCTCTTTCTCTTCACCTTTCAGAGTCAAATGTCCAGGGAATTTAGCGGGTGAAGGAAAAAAGTTTATCTATCCCATTTATTTATTTATCTATTTATTTATTTTAAAAACAGGATCTATAAGTCACCCTGTCTTCTCTATTCGGATTTAACATATGAGATCAACAGTAACATTATATAGAGATGCCTCTCCTCTGGCATTTTCTATATATTCCAACAATTCTGGAGATTAAAATGGGGTGTTATAGTTTCATCTCCATATCTAAAAGCCACTTGGGGGAGGAAAAAATGTATGTGGCTTATGCTTCCAGGTCACAGGCCACCACCGAGGGAAGTCAAGACAGGAACCCAAAACAGAAACCACATAGGGACACTGCTTGTCAGTCCACTCTCTGGATGGTCACAGGCTCATGCTTAGCTAATTTTCCTACACAGCTTATTCCAGAAAATGGTAAATGGTACTGTCACAATCAAGAAAATCCCTTACATGTCCACATGTCTGATAAAAAGAGCTATTTACTCAATGGAGACTTCATTTTTGAGGTGACTGTAGGTATGTCAAGTTGACTGTTAATGCTTACTGGGACAACAGGACAAAAAATGCTACCATATCCACTTGGGTCTTGTGTTCTCAAAATCCTAATTAAAAACTAACTACATCTACCATTCTAGCTTCCCTAATTTCCTGCAACATTTAAAAAAATACTTTGTTAGAAACATATAAAAATACTTAACATTCTACTAAGACAGCACAGACTTTGACAACCATTAGAATCACATACTGAAGCATAATGGTCCCCTATATTTTATTTCTCTGTGTGTATGGGGGGGTGCATGTTCATATATGTGGGTGCAGGCATAAACCTGGCATGGTAGGAGTTTAAATAACCTTCAGATGTTGGTCTCTGCATTTCCATTTGAAATAGGAAATAGGCTGCTGCATACACTAGGCTGGCTAACTAACCTGTGCGCTTCTGGAATCTCCCATTCCTGCCTCCCACCTTCCAATAGGGGCCTGCTGGGATCACACATACTTGACCACCATATCAGGCTTTTATGTGGGCTATGGGGAATCTAAACACTGAGCCATCTCCTTGACTTCTAATGCTTCCTTTTTGTTTGTTTGTTTTGAGACAGGGTTTCTCACCCCAGGCTGTCCTGGATGTCCTAGAATTTGCTCTATAGACCAGGTTGGCAGAGATCCTCCTGCCTCTGCCTCCTGAGTTTTGGGGTTAAAGGCAAGCACCACCACCACCCAGGAGCTCCTTTTTAAAGAATACAGCAAGCAATATACCATTATGTAATAAAGAACAATCAGAGAGGAGGTGAGACAAAGCCTAAAGACCAGAGTTCAATCCCTGGAACTCATGTGAAGACAGAAGGAAAGAACTGGCTTCATAAAATTTATATCTGGCCTCCACACATGTACTGTGATACATAGGTAATACCCCCCATCAAACACATACACAAATAAAATATAAACAAATGTTTTTAAATTCATAACCACTACTTATTAAAATATATATAGTGAATTATGAATCACTTCACCATAAAACAACTTCAAATTCAGGATTAAGCAAACATAATGACAGAAATAGGCTCCTTTTGGCCAGCAGCCCTTCCTTGTTATTAGATAGTAAAATTAATCAAGTACAGACAGTCTGGCCACTCACCATGTGTTTGGCAAAGCTCCCCGCAGGACCAGTGTTTCGCACCAGGTGCCCCTCAGAAGGAAAGTTAAAGCTGCCAGCACTCAGGTTGTCTCGTGTAGAGTGGTTACCAAAGAGAACAAATGGCTGTCGATGAGGGCTAGAGCAGTATGTCAAAATGCAATTAGACAAGGTCCCGTAACCGGATCACAGGCTTTTCTGAGTGTTGTTACCACAGGATGATCCAATCTACCTAATGTCCCTGACTGGCTTGGAAAGGATGTCAGATATTGCTGACTCTTTCTGGTGACCCCTGGGGATCGGTCACTCAGGATAGAACTATCCCTTGCTAAGTTTATGCCTTCTCACTTGACTTCCTTTTTGAGGAACCAGTTCCTGGAGTCGGCTACCAAAAATATAATGGCAATCTGCCCAATTCTTTGTAAGGTAAAATTTTAACAGAAATAGAGCTTTTAAAGATTCATAGTGGGGCTGGAGAGATGGCTCAGAGGTTAAGAGCACTGACTGCTCTTCCAGAGGTCCTGAGTTCAATTCCCAGCAACCACATGAGGGCTCACAACCATCTGTGATGAGATCTGGTGTCCTCTTCTGGCATATATGCAGATAGAACACTGTATACATAATAAATATAATCTTTAAAAAAAAAAAGAGTCAGATCCAACAGACTACTCAGATCCAATAGACAACAGAGTAGCTACTAACTTCTAAGTACCTTTCAGGAGGGGAGCATGAGGAGAAGGACGCTATGATGCTATGATGCTAGCCTATCACACCACCTCCCCATGCACCCACTAACAGTCCTGTTGTCTTGCCTTGCCTTTGACTAGGCTCCCACTTCCTGCTCATTCGGCAAGTGTTCTAAGCAATCCCTTCAGACAGTTTTTTCAGAGAGCTTTCCTAAGAGCCACCAAGGAAACTTCACATGTAGTATTTAGAAAATCAAATGAACAGGACTCACTTTTCTTCTGAAACTTATCAAGCTAAGTTACACTTTAAACAGAAACTGTTTTGTCTGAAACCCAGGAAGGTGGTTTGTCTATTAGACTGGACTGGATGGGGGAACAATTGTGATCTGTCCCCTCTACCCACCAAAGAAAACTTCTGCTGATCACGACAAAGATGCAGAAGGTAATGCTCAGAAACCCTTACCACCCCTATCTTTTGCAAGGTGCTCGGTTTTTAGTTTAATTCATCTTACCCTCCTCAAAATACCGCTGTTCCTAGTCTGCAGTTGCATACTGTTTCATTTTGCTTTCCTGAGCTAGGAACAAAATAAAAATTCCTTTCTTTCTTTCTTTTCTTTGTTCTTTTTTACTTTTTGGGTTTTTTGAGACAGGTTTCTCTGTGGCTTTGGAGACTGTCCTTGTAGACCAGGCTGGTCTCAAACATCCACCTGCCTCTGTCTCCCGAGTGTTGGGATTAAAGACATGTGCCACCACTGCCTGTCGAAAAATTCCTTTCTTTTAGATTGAAGCATATTATAATATTTGAAGAGCCATTTTACTAAAAGATCACAGAAAAATGAAGCAAATACAAAAGTACAAAGCACCAAGACAAATGAATCACAACTACGGAGTTCTTATGCTGTAACTATGGTCAACTCACACTCTGAACTTGGACACCCCAATATTCAATACCCGTTTTCAACTCCATTTTCTCTATTACCATTTGCAGTTCCGTCCCAGGAACATACCTGTTTTCAGTAATATGGCTGGAGATCATTCCATGACTGAAGTAGCTTCTGAATGGCTAAAAAAGAAGCCAACATCTGATGTAAGACAACAGTTTGAAAATAATAAAACTTTTCACATATGTGCATATGTACATACACAAATCAGGAGAACGAGTAGTATATAACAGAAAGACAGAGATGTGTACAGAGTATAAGAACACAGAAAGAATGCCGGGCAGTGGTGGTGCATGCCTTAATCCCAGCACTCAGGAAACAGAGGCAGGCAGATCTCTGTGAGTTTGAGACCAGCCTGGTCTACAAGAGCTAGTTCCAGAACAGCCTCCAAAGTCACAGAGAAACCCTGTCTCGGAATGCGCCCACCCCCACTCCCACCCAAAAAGAATACAGAAAGATAATGAGGTAGATAAATCATGAATTTGGGACACAGCAATGAAACAAAACATTGTGAAGAAAAATAGAAAATGGTGTTGGTAGAAAATGGTAGCATACACATTTAATCCCAGCACTCAGGTAGGGGGCTTGTTCTGGGCTACCATGATTCACTGAAGAATGGAGTCATAATAGTTTAAGCCCAAGTTAGGCTCAAAGACAGCTCTTGTGATTTCTTTCTGTTGAATAGTGTTTGTGACTGTTCCATTCTCTGGATTTCAATCAGACAGTTCACTTTAGTCATGAGGTGTGCCTTAGCCTGAACCAATGCAGTCTTGGAAATGCAGACTTGGAAAGGAAAGCATGGCACTCATAACCACAGCTCAGCTGGTATTCAGAGGTGCAGAACTATTAACTAGCAATAACTACTGATTGGGGACACCACCATGCTGAAAGGTGAACATCCTTCTAATAGAGATGCTATCACAAGAAAAAAGTATTTTGGGGCCATAGGGGATTGAAACCAGGGCCTTGAATATACTGTGTTGAATATATATATATTTGATCAATATATATATCAATATATATACTTGAATATACTGTATACTGTGCCTACCTCTGAACTACATCCCAGTTACAGAACAACATTTTTTGGTTTGGCAAAGGAGGGGATTTCTTTTACCATGTATTATTTATAGAAAAGATAACCAGCCAGCTGGTGGCAGTGGTGGTGCACACCTTTAGTCCCAGCACTTGGGAGGCAGAGAAAGGTGGATCTCTGTTAGTTCAAGACCAGCTTGGTCTACAAGAGCTAGTTCCAAGACAGCCGCCAAAGCAATAAAGAGAAACCCTGTCTCAAAAAACAAAAAACAAAAAAGAAAGAACGAGAAAGAAATTAACTAATTTTCCTTTCTCTTTATGACTTTCACTTACATACCTCACCGGCCTGAGATTCTGAAAGTTCCAGCAGGAAAGGGATTTCTGTGTCAAAATTAGCAAAGAAGCTTGTCCACTGATGCTCAAACGCCACCAAGTCCTAGTTAAAAGAACAAAAATAAACAAACAAACCACAGGGTCATATGAGAGGCACATTAGAGAATAGGAATCATGAACTTATCTTAAACACCAGGCTGCTCTGTATATGTGGATTTTTTGTTTGTTTGTTTGAGACAGGGTTTCTCTGTGTAACTGCTCTGCCTGTCTTGGAACTCACTTTGTAGACCAGGCTGGCCTCAAACTCACTGAGATTCTCCTGCTTCTGCCTCCCAAGTGCTAGGATTAAAGGTGGGTGACATCACCACCTGGCCTATATGTAGATTATTTATTATTATTGAAAAGAAAATATCCGGAAAAGGAACACCTATGCAGACAGAGTGAGTCTGCAGTAGTACCTGGGGAGCAGGGACAGACACTTACTGCACATGGACGCGGGTAACACTCTGGGTTGGCAAAAATATCTTCCATTATTATTATTATTTTTAAAGAGCACTTTTATTATGCAGCACTAGCTGGCCTGCAATTCTCTATGTAGACCAAACTGGCCTGCCTCTTCCTTCCAAGTGCTGGGATTATAGATGCCCAGACGTCACTAGAATTCTTTGCTTATTGCTATCTGTCTATCCATCCACCTTAGCTACCTATAGATATGTCTGTACACATGTGTAAGATGCACACACATATTTGTAAAATTCTCAATAATCACAATGTGGGGATTGGGGAGAAGGTTGGAATTTGTTGAGATATCATCTTACTCTGTAGCCCAGGCTGACCTCAAGCTCATTACCCTCCTGCCTCAGCCTCCTGTGTCCTGGGATTATAGACATATGCCACCATTCCTCACTGGACATTTTGGTTAATGACAGACTAAGCATATGACAGCATATACCATATAGGAGGATATATAATTTAGGTTTATTTTATTTTATTTTACTTTTTCGTTTTTTTGAGACAGGGGTTCTCTGTGGCTTTGGAGGCTGTCCTAGAACTCCCTCTGTAGACCAGGCTGGCCTAGAACTCATAGAAATCCACCTGACTCTATCTCCCGAGTGCTGGGATCAAAGGTATGCACCTCCACCGCCCAGCTGGGAAAATGTTTTTTGAGAAAATTATTGGCTTTATCAAAATACATTACATTGTAGTGAGACAACAGCTTTTTCCTTTTTAAAGAATTTATTTATTTATTTATTTATTGTGTATACAACATTCTGCTTCCATGTATATCTGCACACCAGAAGAGGGCACCAGGTCTCATTACAGATGGCTGGGAGCTACCATGTGGTTGCTGGGAATTGAACTCAAGACCTCTGGAAGAACAGCCAGTGCTCTTAACCTCTGAGCCATCTCTCCAGCCCAAGACAATAGCTTTTTGATGATTACTAATTTCTTTTGTTTGTTTTTTGAGGTAGGATCTTGGATTACCTTAAATTATTGATCCTCCTGCCTCAGCCTCCTACACGCTGGGATTGGAGGTATGTACCACCAAGCACAGCTGTTCATTTCCTTGTGTCAATTATTTCACTTACTCTGTTTTGTTTTTGAGACAGGGTCCCAACTAACTGGAATCTCACTATCTCGACCAGGCTGAATTTGAATTTCCAAAGACCACCCTAGCCTTCCCTCCAAATGCTGGGACTGCAGGTGTGTGTGCCATGGGCCAGCCCCACTGCCCAACGCACTGTATGTCTGACTGGTTTCGTCCACATGTAATGAGTGCACTGTCTGGGCCAGAAGGTGTCAGGTCCCCTGGAACTAGAGTTACTGATTGTAGCATGAATAATAAAAACCCAATGACGGATATTGGGGTTCAAGCTGAAGATCAGAAAAAGCAAAGCAGCCAGCCACTAGAGTGTCCTGTCCTCAGCACCTTTAATCCCAGCACTTGGTTGAGAGCAGAGGCAGTTGGATGAATTTCTGTTGAGTTCAAGGCCAGATAGAGATAGTAGATGACTTCACCTCTTTTTGAGACACTTTAGTTGTTTTGTTTTGAAGACAGGGTTTCTTTATGTAGCCCTGGCTGTCCTGGAACTTGCTCTGTAGACCAGGCTGGCTTCAAATCTCTTAGAGACCCACCTGCCTCTGCCTCTGCCTCCCAAGTGCTGGGATTAAAGGCATGCACCACCACTGTCCGGCTTCAACACTTTCTTTAAAATATATAAAGTAAAATGTATTTATTTTGGTGTGAGGGTGCACACATGCCACAGTGTACATATGGAAATCTCCATCTACCTTTTTGTGAGCCCTAGGCATTATTGTAGGTTATCAGGCTTGCATGGCAAGTGTCGGTACTGGCTGAAGTTTCTTCATAAACCATCTACTTTCCTTTTAATCAGTTCTCTCTTCCCTAGTATTTCATATTTCAGGTATTAATAAACAGAGTTTCATGACTTCTGGTTGAAACTAAAAGAAAGTTTTAAATTTAGTAAGTGGTTTTAAAAAATTATTATGGCCGGGTGGTGGTGGAGCATGTCTTTAATACAGCACTTGGGAGGGAGAGGCAGTTGGATCTCTGTAAGTTCGAGACCAGCCTGGTCTACAAGAGCTAGTTCCAGAACAGCCTCCAAAGCCACAGAAAAACCCTGTATCAAAAAACAAAAACAAAAAAAAATGTGGGGGGCTGGAGAGATGGCTCAGAGGTTAAGAGCACTGACTGCTCTTCCAGAGATCCTGAATTCAATTCCCAGCAACCACATGGTGGCTCACAACCACCTGTAATGAGATCTGGTGCTCTCTTCTGGTGTGCAGATATACACAGAAGCAGAATGTTGTATACATAATAAATAAATAAAATTTTTTAAAAAAATGTGGGATTGGTTCTCTCTTTCTCTGTGGATTTCAGGGACCAAACACAAGTCATCAGGCTTGGCAACAAGTGCACCTACCTGCTGAGTCATCTTATTGGCTCCATAACAAGATTTTGTTTTCGTTTCTTTCTTTTTTTTAAGATTTTATTTATTTATTATGTATACAACATTCTGATTCCATGTACATCTGCATACCAGAACAGGGCACCAGATCTTGTAAAGGATGGTTGTGAGCCACCATGTGGTTGCTGGGAATTGAACTCAGGACCTCTGGAAGAGCAGTCGGTGCTCTTAACGGCTGAGCCATCTCTCCAGCCCCGTTTATTTCTTTTGAGACAGGGTCTCACTGTGTAGTCCTGGGTGGTCTGGAACTCTATATAGCTGGCACTAGTCTGGAACTCACAGAGCTCCACTAGACTGTGCTTCCAGAGGGCTGGGATTAAAGGCATGTGCTACCACACCCAGATGAACAATTAATGACTGAAGAGTTGGCAAATTATAGTCTAGGGTGGGACACATTTTTGTAAACAAAACAGCTATAGAACACAGACACAGCCAGTTTAAACACTGCCTAGAATAGCTTTTGTGCCACAATGATATTGCTGAGCAGTTACAAGGATCTAGGCAGGATATTAAAATATTACTATCTGGCCAACAGGACAAGTTTGCCACCTCTGTTCCAAATCTTGATCTCTTTAAGCAATTTGTCACCTTAATTTTTCATGCTACAAAAGACAACTTCTCCATTGTTTTATTAAAGCTGAGTACAATCACCCCCTCCCCTGAAAAAACAAACAACAAACCATAAAAATCTTTAGGTGAACTAGCTGCCTCACCAGGCAGGAGGCCTAGGCTTTCCTCAGGGTGGAAGAGGAAGCCTCATTTTCCCAGGTTTTGGAGTCCAGCACAATCGAGGAAGGGCACTCTGCTTTTTGATGAAAGTAAACTAAGATGTACTTTGCATTTCTTCAAATTAAATACCTTTGATGGGTAACTGACATGGCTAGGATAATTTAATGTAATTATGTTAAATACGCTTTGGCTCCTTACTTCTGAAAGCATATTCTCCAGAGACACAGGATCCATCCTGCTGTAGACATTCCATAGACTCAAACTCACATCCTGCAACTGCAACAAAGGGCAAAACATTGAATTATGTCAAATTCTTCAAAAATTACTATCTTGGTGTAAGTGGAGTTACTAGAATAATAAACCAAAATTGTATTAATTATATTATTGATGATATTGTGTTATTTGTAAATTACTCATTTTGTTAACTGTATTTACTATTATTAAACCAAGGCTTTATTAACTCCATTAGAACAAACCAAAATTTTATTAATCAGATTAGATCCTATACAAATTAATAAATGTTTTCTCATTCCAAAAAAATTATTTTCAGAATCTTCAGTATATCATCTGATTACAATCAATGATGTCACATACACATTTATACATACATATATACAGTTTTTTCTTTGTAATTTTAATTAAGATAATACATGCTTATGACTTTTAAAAAAATCAAACAGTATACAAGATTTAGAATAAAAATTTGACTCCTCTACTTTAATCCTCTGGAAGCCCATTAGTCTCACTCAAAAACAACTACTTAGAGCTTTTTTCTTTTTGTTATTTAAGTCTATATTTTGACATATGCTCCTTTCACTATTTATCAGTTTAGAAGTTGAGAATTAGCTTATGCAAAGATGCAGGTCTTCTCTATCATCCCACCCCACACCTTTTTTCTATACACACATACTCTAATATCACCTTTTTGGTTACATCATTAGCTGTTAATAGCATCATACAAATATTATCATACGTATTAACATACAAATATCAGGTAAAGCACACTTCTACCCTCACAAGGTGTACTTATTGCTCCTCTTTTTCTTACTAGCATAATCTTTGCTTGTTTGCCTTTTGCTTTATTTTTTTTTGAGACAGGTTCTCAGTCCATGAGCTCTTGCTGGCTCAGAGCTTGCTTTGTAGCCTGGCTGACCTTGACCTTGTAGATCAACCGGTCCCAACCATCTGAGTGTTGGGATTAGCAATTCAATTTCCTTGCCTGGGCAGTGGCTCCTGGCAGTACAATGCTTGAGGCAGGCTTCCCTAGCTTCTCTGCAGCACGCTCCTTTTGTACTTCTCTCAAAGCCAAATGTTTGGGGACAGGAGAAGACAACATCACCTCTGAGATTCACTCTGAATCCAACTAACCCATAGAGTTTTCTCAGCTTTCTGAACTTTATTATGTGAGGGAAGATATTCTCCAAGAGCATGCTCAGATTAGATGCTTTGGTCTTTGGGACTAGGATAAATTTTGTCTTCCCTTATTTTGTTTTTCAAGATAAAGTCTCTCTATGTAGCCTGGGCTAAGGAGAACTTGCTGTTATAGTTTGAATATGAAATATGCTGAACACATGTTGATAGGTGATGGTGCTGTTTTAGAAGGTGGTGGAAACTTCAGGAGGTAAGGTCTACCTGGAAGGTCACACCTGACAGTCCGGTCCTCACCTCTGCTTCCGTGTGCAATGAGCTGATGGGCCATTGCCACCTGACCCACTGCCATGAGGCTCTCCTTCATCACGGGCCAAGGATTCTGAACTGAAATTTATAGAAACTCAGGCCCAATAAATATTGCTCTTTTGATTGTTTCTATCAATCAGGTATTTTGCCACACCTATAATGTTCCTGTCTCAGACTCCTAACTCTCGGGATTACAGACATATACCACCATGTATAATCTGCCAAATCTTTTTCTTGTGCTTGTTTCTGAAACAGGGTCTCATGTAGTCCATACTGCCTTGGAACTCTACGCAGCCAAGGACGGATGACCCCGAATCTCTGATCCTCCAGCTTGCACCATCTCCCTAGTGTAACCACACCCAGTTGTATGCTCTGTGCATGCTAGGCAAGCACTCTACTAACTTAATTACAACCCCAGCCTTGTATCTTCTTCTTGAGTATTATTCCACCTTTCAATTGAAGAACTTATGTTTGTTCATATATAAGTAAACAAATGTTCATAGTTTTTTTTTTTTTTTTTTTTTTTTTTTTGTTTTTGTTTTTCCCAACAGGGTTTTTTTTTGTAGGTTTGAAGCCTATCCTGGCACTCACTCTGGAGACCAGGCTGGCCTCGAACTCACAGAAATCCGCCTGCCTCTGCCTCCCAAGTGCTGGGATTAAAGGTGTGCGCCGCCTACGCCCGGCCTTGGTTTTGGTTTTTTGAGACAGGGTTTCTCTGTGTAATAGCCCTGGCTGTCCTGGATCTCACTCTGTAGGCAGTGTGGCACTTCTTAATGACACTCTAAGCACAGCACACGTTAGGAGCACAAGCTCTAAATCTAGATCATCTGGGCCAGGCCCCAGCCCTGTCACTCACTCACTAGCTCTGTGTCTTTGGGAAAATTTGTTTAACCCCTCTGCTAGAGAAACACAAAACAGTACCTACCCCCAAGGGCCACTGTACAAATCACAGAGAAACCCTGTCTTGAACAACCCCCCCACACAAAAAAATACAAAAACAAAAAAGCAAGCATAACTATTATTGTAAAATGGTTTCCTTCCTGTCTACATGGCCTGATTCCCTTCAAGTTCCTTTTGAATTTGTGGACATTTCAAGTAACACTGTAACTATAGTAATCCTAGCCTGACAGAAAGGGAAAGTCTGCCTCAGAGAGTGTGGTGTCCTGCCAGGCAAGTCCCCAAGCACTCCCTCAGGATGGTAGCCATCTGACTTGCTTCTAAAGGCACTATACAACAAGATGCCCCCATTCCTAACACATTTTTCTGTTGGGTCAGGTCACATCAGTTGGGATCCCCTGGAGCCAAATAGATGCCTTCAGTCACCAGACACACTCTCATCCATTAATCTATCTCAACAGATATTTACTGGTCATCTCCAAGTTGCAAGAAATACAGAAATAAAAACACTGTGCACAGGTCATTTCTTTCAAAGGCTGGCATGGTGACACACCCTTAGCACATGGGAGGCAGGGGCAAGCAGCTCTTTTATGAGTTCCAGGCCAGCCAAGACCACGTAGTGAGATCTTGCTTTAAAATGCAAGTTCATTCACAATTTGACAAAAACCAAACATACTAGTTTTCATACATACCTGGTATTTCATGGTAAAAAATCCATCTCCGCCAATGCCTTCGAGTGCAAAGGCCTGTACAATTGGCCACTTCTCCACCACAAACATATCAAATATCTGTAAGTGACCTAGAGAAATCACATACACAAGACGTATCAAATACCATCCTCTACAGAACAGTTTGAACCCAAGCTCATGTGGTGAGGCAGGCATCATTTCTTACAAATTTACCAGGACTTCCTCTAGCAAAATAAGTATGAACAATTAAAAGGGTTGGATATTGAAAACTAGAAATATAATGCAAAATTAAAGAAAAAATTTTGGTTTTCTTAATTCCAGCACTCTAGGAGGCAGAGGCAGAGGCAGATGGATCTCTGTGAGAACTGAGCCCAGCCTGGTCTACAGATCAAGTCCCAGGACAGTCAGGACTACACTGAGAAACCCTAGATCAAAAACACAAAACAAAACAAAAAATAAAAAACCAACAACAACAAAAAAGTAAATAGTACTCTATTGCAACTTATTTGCACCATTTAGTGAATATATTTATTAACAGACCAAAGTTGTTCTTGCTGAAGAAATAGCCAATCAGATTCCTCAAAGGAAAACTACTAAATCAAATCACAAAGTTTCCTTACTGGCCAGGTGTAATGGAATTTGCATTTAATCACAGCACCTGGGACACAGAGGCAGGTGGACCTCTGGCATTTGAGGTCAGCCTGGTCTACATAGCTAGTCCTAGGCATGGAGTAGCCACAGTGGAACCCTGTATCAAAACAAAACAAATCAAAAATGGGTCTCCTTTTTGTAACAATAGTTTCAATATTCAGTGTTTCTTTTTCTTCCTACAATATTAGCACTAATAAACTTGTTGGTTCCCCCCTTGTATTCCATGTCCTGTAAACATGTTTGTCTGTCTGAGATGGGGTTTCTATGTAGCCTTGGCTGGCCTAGAACCCAGTATGTAGACCATACTGGCCTCACACTTCTAGACAGCCACCTACTTCTGCCTCCCAGGGGCTGGGATTAAAGGTTGGTGCTACCACACCTGGCAAAAAGATGTATTTTATCTTAATTATGTGTATGTATGTGTGCGGGTACCCATAGAGCCAGATCCCCTGGAACTGGAGTACCCAGTATGACTAGTATGGCTACTAAGAACCAAACTCAGGCCCCTGAAAGGCCAGTACATGCCCTTAGCCATCTTTCTAGCCTCATAAGCAGACCTTTTAAATAACTATTCAAATTACAGTTTCCAATTATGAAGATGTATCATATCTACACTCTAAGTAATAAAGGATACAGACTAGATGTTAATTGTGCTAAATCCCTGTGGTTCTCCTTGACCACAGGCACCTTGGTATGCTACTGTGGTAACTTCAGAGTTATGAAGAGAAGTTTGTATAGAAGTCCCTAAATTTCATTCTGGTTGACTCTTTGTCTTAGTGAAAATGGGTCAAGCAGTTTTCCAGCCAAATATCTACCATGAAAGAGGCAGGAGCAATTCAACCTGCACACCATCCAAGCAAGTTTCTTAAATGGCCGTGTCAGATACCTTGGGAGCTGTAAGGAATACCAATTCTACTGCAGTCTCGAACCATGTCCACAAAGCTGGAGATCTTAAATTCTTCTGCTGCTTCCTCATCTTCATACTAAAAAGGGAAATTAAGAGGAAGATGAGCTTTGATATATCATTCACAGTTCCGAATTATCGTTGTATATTTTCAGGGGCTATCTTAAATGGCAACTAGGGAAGGATGAGTTTCTAAAGCCAACTATCTTATTTGTTGCTCAAAAGTAGTCTCCATTTCTTCATTTCATAAACAAAAATCAACTCAAATAGATTGACTGAGACTTACATGGAAGAGATAAAACTATAATCACATGGAAAGAAAAGTTCTTACTCAATGCTGGGTGGAAACTGCCATGACATTATAGGCAGAAAAATCCCAATTTTCTTTCTAGTCATATTCTTCAAAAGAACCCAAAGGGAATAGAAATAGACACCAAGAAACCCAGACATAAATGTCACAAAGTTTAAGAAAATTCTAAGTTTTGTAGGCACGTCCAGTCTTTTGATACTGTAACCCAACTTTGTCATCTATAAAGTTTAGACTCACTCAAAAATTGCATAGTCAAGTTACAATCTGCTGGGCTTGTGGAACATGCCTTTAACCCCAGCACTTAGAAGGCAGAGGCCAGGGGGCTGGAGAGATGGCTCAGTGGTTAAGAGCACTGACTGCTCTTCCAGAGGTCCTGAGTCTAATTCCCAGCAACCACTTGGTAGCTCACAACCATCTGTAATGAGATCTGGTGCCCTCTTCTGGCCTGTTGAGACACATGCAGGCAGAACACTGTATATACATATTAAATAAAAATTAAAAAAAAAGGAAAAGTGACAATAATAAACAAAGAGTTACTATGTCAAAAAAAGTAAGGTCCTGCCAGGCAGTGGTGGCACATACCTTTAATCCCAGCACTCGGGAGGCAGAGGCAGGTGGATCTCTGTGAGTTTAAGACCAGCCTGGTCTACAAGAGCTAGTTCCAGGACAGCCTCCAAAGCCACAGAGAAGCCTTGTCTCGAAAAAACCAAAAAAACCAAAAAAAAAAAAAAAAAAAAGCTAGTCCAATAAATAAACAAGCCTACAACTTAGTATTGAGTGACATTTGCAGCTATTGTTGCCTGCTGAAGCTCTTGGTCTGGAGGTTGGAAAAGCCCTCAGGGGCAGTCCGTGAGCATGAGTACTAGACAGGCTTCAGGAGGTCAGGACAGAGGAGTCAGAAGCCCAGTGTGAAAGCCTCTCTGTCTCCACTAGGCAAACAACTAAAAGTCTCATGGTGTACAGCTTTCTACTTGAATATTCATTTCTGTGTGACCAGACTCTGACACTGGATCTGGAATGTCCCATAAGGGGCTTCTGGTCCAAATCAACACTTTCCTGAATGAAGTACTTAGCCCATCCTTCCTCCTCACCTCATTTTCGGTCATGCAGTGGAAATGTAGGTTTCTCCAATGTGCTACATAAGGCAGAAGGTATTGGTAGTTGACAGGATTACAATATAGATGAACACTATCCGATTTAATCAATATAATCACATCTGTAAGAAAAAAAGCAAAACACAAAATTGTCAAAGGCAGCTTCTGCCCAGAAAATATTACCTCCATTAATGCATAGGATTGTAGTTCAGCAATTCAGGGTTGCATGGCCAGGCCCTGGGTTCATTTCTAGTATAACAAACAAACAAAACTCCCAAACCAAACACATAGCTATTTCAGAAACAATATAACAAAAGCCTAAATGTGTAATTATTTAACCAAGCAACAGTCAGGTGTGGACAGTAAGGGTTTTCTAGTGCTGCTGAAATGTTCTTCCTATGATGGCCTCCTAGATATGACAGTGTATGCCCAAAATAAGTCAAAAGGACAGGCTTCATTTCCTGAAACTGTACTGCAAATTTCAGGAAAGTCAGAGCTGTGGTGCTGATCTAGGCTATGTTATTTAATTACTGACTGACTGATGACAGTGGTTTCATTACTGAAGATTGAGCCTAGAGCTATACACATGCTAGGCACATGCTCTATCACACTGAGTTGCCTCAGCTGGCCTTGAACTCTATACATAGCCCAGGGAGCAAGCAGCTGTGATTTCAGGACTGAGCCACTAGCCTGGCTTCTTTTTCAGACTAACCTGGAATTTACTGTGTAGACCAGGCTGGCCTTGAATTTACAGCATTCCTTCTGCCTCTACCTCTACCTCCTAAATTCAGGGAGTACAGATATGTATCAGAACACCTGGCTTCACAATTTATTTCAATGAGGAGATAAATATCCAACGGAAATAACATGGCCACCAAGTCAAGAAACAACACCAATGGCAGGGACTCCACATTAAAGCCAGTGTCTAAAATTTCTGGCCAGAGGTTCATTTGGCTCCAGGCAATTGTGAGCCTGGACACTGCCTGTCAGTCTTAGGGAAGGTTACTGTGTATATCAGTGAACTCTGGACACAGGAAAAGCTGGAAGGAAGGAAGCACAGGCAAGTAAAAGAGCTTCTGGAAACATACCAATAGACTGCAGATTTGGAACAGGCATCAACACTGGTAGATCAAGTAAATAAAGAAATCCCAAGGGTGCAAAGAAACCCAGGCAAATTCAAGCACCACGAGAGAGCGTGATGGAATGGGACAGAAGTACTAAAGTAGCCTGGGCATGGAAAATGAAAGCAGCCATAATTCCAAAAGAAAAGCAGGCTTCATCCAATGGCTCCTCTGATGTCAGTGCAACTAGACCTTTCTAACAGGACCCAGCTGGGGATTGCTGGAAATGAGAAGCGTGCAGAGCAGAAGCGACCCTCTCTCTCATGCCTCAGTTCTGTCTTTCCTCAGTCCCACAGCCCCAGATCCCTGTCCTAAATCAACCGCAGACTACCTGCTAAGGCAGAAATTGTATGACACCTGAAAAAGTGGGGATCCATTATACACCACACACACACTACACTGATTCACTAGATACCGTACTATACATTCAAGTGTAACCTTAAAGATTTAGGATCAAGAAACAAATGTTATCATAACAACTGCTAAATCTAATTACAAATTTCATACACTCCGAATAAACAGCCAGATAGAAGAAGAAAATATGGCCAGGGTGTAGTAGCTGTAATTGTTTAATCCCAGCACTCAGGCGGCAGAGGTAGGAGGATCTCATTGAGTTCAAGGCCAGCATGTTTACGTACATAGTGAGTTCCAGGATGGCCAGACTCTATCTCAAAAGAAGGAAGGGGAGGGGTCGGGGGAGGAGGAAGAGGGATGAAGCTGGGCGTTATGGCACATGCTCATGATACCAGTGCAAGTGCAAGGATGCCACCCTGATTTAAACACAGAGATGGTATCAAAAAAAAAAAAAAGCAAAAAACAAAAAAACAGCAGCAGATGAATGAGAAGCATCAGGAGGACGAGGAAGAGGAGGAAAGGGCACAGACTGGATGGTAGTTTGGCCAGGTGTGGTGGCACAAGCTTTTAATCACAGAACTCTGAGTTTGAGGCCAGCATCTCTACATAGCTTGTTCCAAGAAGGTCACAGCTACATAAAGAGAACCTGTCTAAATAACAACAACAACAACAACAATAATAGTAGTAGTAGGAGAGTAGAATTATGTAAAATGTTTTTTAAAATGTCTTTGAAAAGTAAGTATCTCATGTTGGCTTTTCTAATGCTAAGACCCTTCAATACAGTTCCTCACGTTGTGGTGAACCCCAACCATTAAATTATTTTTGTTGCCATTTCATAACTGTAATTTTGCTACTGTTATGAATTTCAATGTAAATATTTTTTTGGAGACAGAGGTTTGCCAAAGGGGTTGTGACCCACAGGTTGAGAAGGGAAGAAAAGTAAGGGAAAATGTTATAATTTTATTTTAATATCAAAAATTAAAGAGTCAGGCAGTGGTAGCATATGCCTTTAATCCCAACACTCAGGAGGCAGAGGCAGAGGTGGATCTCTGAAAGTTCAAGGCCAGCCTGGTCTACAGAGCAAGCTCCAGGACAGGCTTCAAAGCTACAGAGAATCCCTGTCATGAAAAACCAAAAATAAATAAATAAATAAATAAATAAATAAATAAATAAATAAGAAAAAGAACTGTTGAAGATGACAGTGGTGATGTGCATGTAAACCTAGTACCCAGAAGGCTGAGAAGCACTGTGGATCTGAAGCTGGCCTGAGTACAGTGAGAGCCTACCTCAGAGAGATGGAAGGAAGAAAGGGAGGAAGGAAGGGAGGGATGGAGGGAGGGAGGAAGGAAGGAAGGAAGGAAGGAAGGAAGGAAGGAAGGAAATTAA